TAGTAGTAGTAGTAGTAGTAGTAGTAGTAGTAGTAGTAGTAGTAGTAACAAGAAGCTATTAGTAGGACAGTCCAGACCCTACCACCTTGCTGCCTGGGCCCCTGGGCACACGCTTGCATCAGACCTTCAAGGGAGCCATGAAGTGCCACCTTCAGCTTTTCAAAGGGAACATGGTGGAAAGGGAACCTAAAAGCAATGGCCTCCGACCTAACAGCGATGGCCTCCGAGCATGCTTTTAGACATGGACAGACACAGAAACATCTTGGGACCACCATATATCAACCTTTGAGCCCGTTGTCTACAAGACCAAGCAACAGACATTTCGCCGACATAGGCAGGTTGTTTCGAGTGTTGCAAGGCTTTGTTAGGTCTGGATTGTACCAATAATCCTTCTCCAAGGTCCATGCTGATCACGCAACTCGGCCAGCTTTGGAATGACTTGACATATGGGCGGCTGGTACGCAAGGTGTCCAAATGAACCCACGACAAAGTGTAGCTGGGGATTTCTCCGTGCGAAAGGTTCGGAGTCGAGAGTGGATTGAAATCGTCCCTTGGGATGGAGCTTCTGATTTCGGATCAGAAGAGACTGAGAAAAGTAGTTTCTTGCTACTAATAGCGATGGCCTTCAGTTACTAGTAGCTTCTTGTTCCTAGTAGTAATGCAGGATTGTTGGATCTTTTGGTGTGTCTGGGGGTGAACCATACCCAAGTTCAATGCGTCGCCGCGCGCGCTTTTTGCCGGCGTTGGGGCGGTTGGCTCCTCCCGCTCCTCAGGCTCCCGACGTTGCTGGGAATTGGTTGTCTCTTCTCGGTGTGCAAGTGTTCGTCTGTCCGGACCTGAGTTGGTCACGTCGAGAGACGATGTGACGCGAAGCTGATGAAGCAGAGGCTTTGGTGTAGAAATGGGGCCAAAAAGAATCCAATGGCTATATTATGCTATATTTGCGTGCTTGTGGACAACACAAATCGCAAACTCCAGAAGTTGAAGCTCAATCACCTATTGCCTCATCTCCGGCCTTGACGTGAGCCTCGAGGCTAGTAGGGTGGAGGCCATTGCTGTTGGTTCCCTTTAAATGAACGACACTCGTGCCGTCGGCTCGAGCCTCGAGGCGAGCGAACATGTGAAGACCTTCATCCACTACTGCAACGCCGGAGCCTCCGGCGTCCTCTTTGCGGTGAGCATCTTCCTGCTCATGCCGGAGGCGGAAGTCGCAGACAGGGTGAAAACAGACAGCTCAGTGGATGGCCATGTCTAACCTTAGCGAATTCAGACTGATGATGGGAAGTCCTCCACCATCTTCGTGGGAAAAAGGAAGCACATCCGAAAACCACTGAATTCAATTGTTTAATCATAAATTCTTGATCCACCTCGAGCCGCAAAGCAAATCTCCACCCTAGAAGTCCAAAGACTTTTGCTCACTTTTCGAAAGACCATCAAACTAGCAGCTACCGGCATCGCTACTAGGAACAAGGGCATCACTAGTAGTAGCTCCTAGTAACAAGGGCATCGCTATTAGTAGCAAGAAGCTACTAGGAGCAAGGGCATCGCTATGAACGGAGCAAGGACGCTACTTTACTAGGGGCGCTCCTGGCCTTACTACGAACGGAACAAGGACGCTAAGTGACAAGGGCATGGCTACTCGGGACTTCGGGATCCGCATTTCGCCACTGACGGTGCCCGAACGGAACTGTCGAGGCTTCGCACCTCATGGCTGCAGGGAAGAGCGAGGCAGTCGGATGGAACTGGTGGGACTCCTAGTAGCTTTTTGTTTCTAATAGCTTCTTGTTACTTGTTACTACTAGTAAGGCACTTGTTACTAGAAGCGATGCACTTGTTCCTAGTAGCTTTTTGTTCCTTGCAAACATTGCTCCTAGTAGTACGGCCAGGAGCCCCTAGTAGCGTTCTTGCTCCGTTCGTAGCGATGCCAGGAGCCCCTAGTAGCGAACATTGTTCATTGGTAGGATCTGTTATGTGTTCTATGACTTCAATATCTTCGCCCAAGAGGTTCGACGTCCAGCTTTGATCAACAAAGTCACCTCATGCTTTTGAACGATTCCGGATGGTCATCACAATTCCTAATGACCAACGACCACTGGGCATGCACCCACCACTTCGTTTCAAGACACTCCCGTGCAGACACGAAGACCAATGGCGAAATGGCTCCAGCGGATCTTCAACTGTCGTTTCCCGAAATGGCTGTGCTTTGCCGATCCATTTCGCCTCAACAAAATGATATGACCTTGAGGGAGGCGTTGCTGCGCACAGCTTTCCAGTCGTAATCCCCCCTGTTCAATGTTGGCATTGTTTGTGGTACAAGACTTCTTGGATTCTGCCTAGTTTAGCATCTTTTGGCCAGCTCCTAGAACATAGGAGCGCGAGGCGTAGCAACAAATGGTCGCTACAAGTCGCGATTTCTGCCTGCCTTGTTCAGGGGTGACTAGTGGGCTGCGTGGCTTATGGAGGAAATTCTTGTGGATGTCTTCACTAGCATTGTTGAGTGATACTGCCGGTCAATGTGTCAAGTCACTCGCTGGTATAATTCTTTTTCCTTGAGGTTTCTGTTCCAGGTGATTGAGCTCATTACAGGAGTGCAAAGAGCAATACTATCTTCAGTATTCTGCAGCATATTCGGCCAGTCTGTCTAGCCCAAAGCAACGCTCGCGTTCGCGACTAAACGCCACGTGGTTCGGTCTTTCACGGTGTGGAGGCTGGTTTGGCGGTCGCCTGGGGCAGCTGTGTGATCGCCGGGTGGTTACTTGGCATCATGATGCACCAGCCACTCGGCGAAGAGAGGAACGAGCGGAACGAGTGGAACGGTCGGAGCAGGTGAGTGGAGGATTTGGAAGCTTTGGGAGGACAGGAAGAGGATTTTGTTCTTCCAAAATTACTAAATACAGACACAGCAAATCATGGCAAGTCGCAAGTGTCAAATCACGCTCTGGTTGCAGAGATTGGATGGGATGATGGAGATGCACAGATCAAAGTCTGAGTCACTGATCAGGCACTACGACTCCCCTGAAATGGGATGTTGGTCTTTCCTCTTCGGGGGGTTTAATACACACAGTAATACACACCCATGTGTCCTACATAGCTCTTCAAGCCACACACACAAATCCGGATCCGACCACTACCCGACCGATCCATTAGTCTGAAAGTCATTCAGATGGTCAGAGCAGGTCAAGAGCTCATGCCTCACAGTGCTCAAAGCCACAGACGAGCGTCGCGAGGCATGTCGTGAGGCGTCAGGTAGCGTCCTACTAGCCTCCTATTCCCTTTGTTCCTAGTAGCGTCCTTGCTGCAAGTAGCGATGCCCTTTGTTACTAATAGCGTCCTCTTGTTCCTGAGTTGTTCGGATGTGACTTCTTGAGAATGTCTTTTTCGCTTTCAAGACCCTCAGGGCCTCCCACATGCTGCAGCCCGCACAGGCCGGGCCGTCTGTCACAGGCTGTGAAGGAAAAGGCTGTCAGTGGTGAAAAGATCGCAGCTTGAGCACCTAATAGCTTCTTGTTCCTAGCAGTACGGCCAGGAGCCCCTAGTAGCGTCCTTGCTCCTGGAGCCCCTAGTAGCGTCCTTGCTCCTAGAAGTAAGGCCAGGAGCCCCTAGTAGCGTCCTTGCTCCTAGTAGCGATGCCAGGAACCCCTAGTAGTGTCCTTGATCCTAAAATTACGACCAGCAGCCCCTAGTAGCGTCCTTGCTGCCAGTAGCGATAGCGTCCTTGCTCCTGGTAGTAAGGCCAGGAGCCCCTAGTAGCGTCCTTGCTCCTACTAGCGAGGCCAGGAGCCCCTAGTAGCGTCGGATAAAGTCGAGTTCCGCAACTGCGCAGGATTCCGCAACTAGGATTCCGCAACTGTTTGGTCGGATTCCGCAACTGGGATTCCGCAACTAGGATTCCGAAACTAGGATTCCGCAACTAGGATTCCGCAACTAGGATTCCGCAACTAGGATTTCGCAACTAGGATTCCGAAACTAGGATTCCGCAACTAGGATTCCGCAACTAGGATTCTGCAACTGGGATTCCGCAACTGGCGTTCCGCAACTAGGATTCCGCAACATTGTGGACTCCCTCACTAGGATTCCGCAACTTTCTGAATGATGAGGGGGTTGGCGTGATGTCGAGATCACACGATGGGGACAAGGGGGGGTTGGGGGGTGGGGGGGTTGGGTGGGGGGCTAATGACGTTGGTTTGGATGTGCTTCGAAGGTGATGTCACAGGCACACACGCTGTCGCATGATGTGGAGATCACCAGTTGCAAGTTTCAGAAGGCAAGTTGCAGAATCCGACTTTCCGGTTTCAGAATACCAGTTGCAGAATCTGACTTTCCAGTTTCAGAATACAAGTTTCAGAATCCCAGCTTCAGAATCCTAGTTTCAGAACCCCCGTTTCAGAATCCTAGTTTCAGAACCCCAGTTTCAGAATACCAGTTTCAGAATCCAAGTTTCAGAACCCTAGTTTCAGAACACCAGTTTCAGAACCCTAGTTTCAGAATCAGACCGATTAGTTTCCGAATCCGGCTCTAACCTAGTAGCGTCCTTGCTCCTAGTAGCGAGGCCAGGAGCCGCTAGTAGCGTCCTTGCTCCTAGTAGCGATGCCACGAGCCCCTAGTCGCGTGGCCAGCAGCCCCTAGTAGCGTCCAGCGTCCTTGCTCCTAGTAGCAAGGCCTTGCTCCTAGTAGTAAGGCCAGGAGCCCCTAGTAATTTGCGTCCTTGCTCCGTAAGGCCAGGCGCCCCTAGCAATCAGCGTCCTTGCTCCTAGTAGTAAGGCCAGGAGCCCTAGTAGTAAGGCCAGGAGCCCCTAGTAATTAGCGTCAGGAGCCCCTAGTAGCGTCCTTGCTCCTGGAGCCCCTAGTAGCGTCCTTGCTCCTAGAAGTAAGGCCAGGAGCCCCTAGTAGCGTCCTTGCTCCTACCAGCGAGGCCAGGAGCCCAGCGACAAAAGCAGCTTTGAAACGGTCGCGTTCGACACGCGAGGTGGCAGCAGACAATACCTTGGAAGAGGGACAGGACCGCAGTGGAGGGTTCTGAAGGAAGATCTTGTTCCAGCTAGAGTTTTTTGGGGCAAGGACGCTACTAGGGGCTCCTGGCTTTACTACTAGGAGCAAGGACGCTACTAGGAGCGGTACTCTAGGGATTCAAAAAGAACTCGTGTGGTCGCTTGGTGATCCAGTGCAACTCCTGAGAACTCTGAGCAAAGCACCAGCGCACATGGCACGACACGCTGCATGGCTGGCTGTCAATTAGTGCACTTCACGGTTTGGGGACAGATCCACAGTCTTCAATTTGTGTCGGAAACCCTCGCGCTCTGGCAAATCTGGGGGTCCCACTTCCCAATCTCTCCAGGTGTGAAGTGATGCCAGGAGCCCCTAGTAGCGTCCTTCCAAATGAGAACCTGTTTTTGTTTCCTTTTTTCGAGTCTTGGGACCCGCCCAATTTTGTGCCGTCAGGAGAAGGAGCCCGTTGCAAAGAAGGCGCCCGGATTGCTGCACCCCATACTTACCAATGGAACCATGCCTCCGTAGAAAGTTTGGCAAATGGACAGTGACTGCCAAGAGGCTTTTTCTGACATTTAGCGCCCACATGGACATGCTTGAGGTACGAAGGTTACACTTTGCAGGCCTACCTCAACAGTTGTTCAGATGTTTCTTCTGTGCTCTTTGCATCAAACAGCCATACATATCCATACATGGTGACATGTTGATTAATGTTTCAACTATAGTGTCGTGTTGAGCTCAGTAGTTCTTCGTTTTTTTTCCCACTGTGGACGCAATTAAACTGACTCAAGCGCAAAGTTCGCTTCTTCAGTTCGCTTCTTCTGGAACTTTGGAGCCTACATGACTTTTGACAGGCCCGTTTGTCACCTCAGATATCTTCGGCTACTTTGAATCTTGATCCGGCCAGGCCAACTGGAGTCTGGCCATACCGGTTCTCCTGGGAGTCTCTTGGATGAACGGTGTGTGACCTCTCCGAAGCCACCTCTCAGGATTTCACAACTAGTAACAGGTGCCTTACTAGTAGTAACAAGTGCCACGCTACTAGGAGCAAGAAGC